CTTTGAGTCCAGCGCTCACGCCAGTGTGTCATTGATCTTTGCAGTAGAGTACCTTTTTATATATGTAGCCAAGGGTTCTACCGTCCTCATAACAAATGGGCCCCTGGCTCCCACCTTTGCCAGCTGATCGGCACGTTCGTTGCCTGGGACTCCAGTGTGGCCTCAGATCCACCTCAGGGCAACGTGTTGTTAGTGCCTCGCCCTCAGTACCCACCTCTGATCTCCTGTACCAGCTGATCACGAAGGTACCCGTCGCTCAAGGCCTGTAGCAATGACTGGCTATCTGAGTAAACTGTGACCGGCTCTGGACCCGGGTGTGATAGGATCCACTGGGATGCCCCCTCCAAGGCCACCAGTTCCGCCTGGAACACGGGCACTTCCTCATTCAATCTGACTGATCGACAGTACACTTCAACTCCATCAGAGAAGACGCAGTATGCGGCACCTACTAAGCTGCTGTCTTTCGAGCAATTGGTGTATATTTCAACACCTGTACCTGTCGGTTCACCGACGTCCCAATCAAGCCCAATCCTATAGGCGGTATGGGTCTTTAGTACGTCTGTCCAACACCCAAGTCTGATCGGGTACTTCCGATTACAATGCATAGTTTCTATACCTTCCACTCTTGTTCTGTAGAAGGCCACCTCCTGGCTGACAGCCAAGGGCAACGGGAGCAGCCCGGCCAAGACCAGGGCCACATCCGTGGACACAGTTCTGTATGCTTGCGTGTTCTGCAGGGTGGTGTGTTGTTGGATCGTAAGCAACAACTTGCTTTGACTGACATTGGCGGAATCCTTCCACCAAACACCACAGGCATAGCAGATAACACATTCTACACTGATCTTATAGATCAGTGTTTTTCAACCTTCTTGAATACGCAACCCCTTTACAAGTTAAATTTCTGGCGACCCCCCCAGGGCCATATGAAAACTATATCAGTGCTTTTAAAAACTATGTATTTAATTTTCTTTCTGTTCAGACAAATTATTGTTGATTAAAATGAAAATTTCAGAAGTATCGACAATAACTTAACACACACAAAGTATGGGACTTCTTTTAATTATAACATTGGGCATGGGGAGGTTTTTTAGGGATCAGAATTTTCAGCTTCTACTTTTACACCTTTTATTTCATTTTGCAAATCAGCTCAACACTTCTTTCAACTATCATTTCCTGGTGTGGGCCATAATTCTCGCTGAAATTGTAGTTTTTTTAATGTAGTGTAGCACCTACAAACACTTGTCTTTTTCTTTTACCTGCGACCTCCCTGTATAAGGTTTCACAGCCCCCAGGTTAAAAAACACTGTTAGATGGATTGAATTGCTTCTCCGCTAAGGCCATAGTCCTGCCTTGCTAATCTTGATAGTGCGGCTATCATCTGGTTTGTTCTGACTCAAACACTCCATAGATGGGGCGTCCCCTTGTCACCCCAACTCAACTGTCCATCCAGATAACTGTTAGGTACTGTAAAGTACCTAAGGCTTCTGACTGAACTAAATGTGGAGCTTTGAAGAAGGGCACTACTTTGGGACTAGTAATTTTTCAGATCAAAACTCGACGGTTGATCAAAAGAAGACAGCTATAAATGAAATACGTGATGAAGCAGATAGATGAATTTTTACATAAAAGTTATATAGATGGAATAGAACACTCTCTCTTCATCACTAACAAAAAAAAAAAGTTAAAAATGACACCATATGCTGGGAAAGTTGTGACTACCATTACCATTCTCTAGGATTCAGTTGGTGTTATCCTCATTAACTTCTTGAGGCCAGAACACAAATTGCTGATTTGAATTGTGACGTGCTTAGAAAATTGTGTGAAGCTCTGACAAAAATGCCCAGGCTTACGTGAAGGAGTCATTCTCCTACATGATGTCAGGCCTCTTGCACTGCTATTTACACAGCAATTGCTCCAAAAATTAAAGTGGGAACTATGGAGACAACCTGCCTACATTCCAGATCTGACCCAGTGATTTTTACCTGTTTCCTTTAAGATGCTGTTGATATGAAAGCAGCTACTAAAATATGGCTGCAACAGCAGGGACATAGTTTATCTGATCGTACAACCAATTTTTCCATTCCAAGTTGAAAAATTTTTTGGACAAATGTTTAAATCAATAAGATTATATATAAAGTACAGTAGAGAGTCGATTATCTGAAAGAATTCCAGTCGGCAAATTTAAATTTTCACCAGTGCTGTGGTGCTGCAATCTTTGGCTATGTCTTGGGCTACTGAAATATTTTACGTTTTTGATACTAAATTAACTTCTGAAGTATAATTTTTTGTTTTTATTTTATTTGTACAAAATAAAAAAATAATTTTTAACGATACAATAGTCTTCGTTAGGCTTAACATCAACAAAAATTCAAAGCAACATGCAACAGAGAAAAATTTCAACATGGGATAGGTTAATATATTTTTTCGTATATAATCAGTTATCCAAAATATCAATTTTTTCCGAACAACCTCAGTCCCCAATTGATTTGGATAATCGACGCTCTACTGTAATATCTTTAGCCTGAGTATTAACATACATCATAACTGCCTTTATTCTAATACAGTAGAGCCTCGAAAACTCGGCACTCAATAACCTGGCACTCTGGATAACTCTGCCACACCCTGGCAGGGCAAAAAAAATCCTTAGTTAATTAATTTTCATGATAAAAGACAGCTTTATGCCTCATAAAGTATTTTTGAGTTCTGTCTTATCAGGTAAATTACTGTACAGTATATTCATTAATTTTCATTTTCATGTAGTAAAGGCTCTATGCCTTCATAAAAGACATACTTTTCCTTTGTTTAAGGATATTTGGGCAGTTTATTCTCTGTTGTATTCTCAAGTAAACAATACATACAAGTACAATACAGTATTTTCTGAGGAAACACTCATACTTATTTTTTTTAACCCCATTCCCGATAACCCGGCATTTTCACAAACTCGGCCACCCTTCGGTCCACATTAGGCAGAGTTTTCAAGGCTCTACTGTACTAAAAAAAAATATGCTATCTATATGCAAAGTAGTAATGTATAGTTTTCTTGTCTTTCACTGGTCAAGTTTGATTTTGAATGTACTTTACCAGGAATATAGCTTAATTTGGATTGCATAATGTACAAAGTAGAAAACAGAATAGAATTACTTTTATTGGCAAAGCTCTGATGGCTTTGTTTGCAATCCATGGCTTGCTTGTGATTGATCTAAGGCAGGCATGGCCAACATACGGCCTGCGGGCCAGATCCAGCCTGTCTAATTAATTTATGTGGCCCGCAATCAATCTTTCAATATTATCTACACAAGTCCGAATAGCTTGATGAAAAATTCTGACACCTAAAAAAAAAGTCAACAACTCACTGTGCGTTTGGAGTTAACCCTCCATTACAAATCTCTTAATTACAGCGTAGTGTTGATAAAGCATGATAATGTGAAAAATGTATCTGTAATCTCTATCTACAATTCCGTCTACGGGGTGACACCACAATGAGATCTCACACCACCTCAAAATCTTCCTAGGGTAGCCTCTGGTTTGGCCTGTGGAAAAAGTTCTTTCCAATTCAGCCCTGGGGACAAAAACTGTTGTCCACCCCTGGTCTAAGGTATTTCAAAAATTGATTTTTTGACCAAATAAATGCTTATACCTTTACATACACTACATCAGAGATTTCTTTGTGAAGACCCTTTGGATATAATGTCATTCTAAGAATCTTGAAGTTATCAGATCATTGCTTGACAAGCCACAAATTACATCAAAAATGATGTATTGCATGACCTTTGGAGCTCAACAGCCATTACAGATACAATGTTTATGTTCAAACTATCAAAAATCGGATGGTCCAAATAATTTTATAATGCTGTTTTCATTAGAGTCAGTTTTAGGGATAAAGAAATGTTAAAGTGTAAGAGAAATTTGTATGTAAATTTGATTGGTTTGCTAAATAAAGCTGCAAGATAAGGTGTCTTAGTAAGTCTTTTGGTTTGCTAAATATCTTGAACTACTGATATTTAAATATGAGGAATGATGTGCTTTGATTAAACTTTTCTCTTGAGAGCAGTCCCCATCAACAATGAACAGTTATTTAGACTGCATTGGTGAAATTTTAACATTTATTTGAAATATGTATCATAACAGCCATCCAGAAAGTGATACCCATTTGCTCAAAAATGAAGAAAAACAGATATCAATCAGGCAAAATCAACTATTCTCAGTTGTGCACATGCTTCCCTCAAAGTTACATGTTAAGTGTATTGTTAAAATGGCAACAAAAATTATCAATCAACAACATTTATTTGTTATGCAGTGGCATGTCGTCATTGGAAGCACTGCTTCCCTTGTATTTTCTAAAAAATAAATATATATTAATTTTAATTATATGAAAATAATCGCACAATATTTTATTATAACTGCATTATGTATTTTATTACAAATTTCTATACNTTTCGCCAGTCCTGTCAATTTCTGTCCTAGAGCACGACTATGGGTACTTGGCTTTTGGGTGCTGCCAGATGGTTCAACCTGCCGACAGACGTTTCACATTGCAACTTAATTCTGATAAATGCCAATAGAGGAGGTGTTAATGCTATAATATAAACAAGAATATAGTAATTGCGTGCCGATCGGATTTTTTTCTCCATGCGAAGTCATTTCTTATGTTATAAGTAGGGTGGGTATTATGACGTAACCAATCGCTCAATTTGCTGCCCCCCTGGATGTGCCACCCGCGCGCAGTGCACGCCCGCTTACAGTGGGCCTGGCAGTCATGAAATGGTATTGTCAGCAACCAAAATAATAAAACAATCTTATAAAGAGGTAATATACATTCCTAAACAGTGCTGAAGAATATTTTGACAAATATTAAGGAGTGTATTGGGAAAAAAGTTATTTCTGGTTTTCATTTGACTGCAGTAATAATTTTAAATTGTATACAAGTTACAATAGCTATAACATTTTGAAATCACTAATTATAAGTTCAGAGATATTTACATAATGCATTAAAAAACAAATTAGAAATAGAATCTTTATTGACAAATATACAACATTAGACTGCAAACTGAAAACATTTTTAAAATCACAAGTTTAATATATTAATCTTCATCTTGTTCTATTTGTCTGCTGCGTGAATCACCAAGAAATACTACATCATCTAAGTGTGATATTGTTAATTAAGATGTTTAATTAAAAATTGAAAATTTAAAATTTTTGTTGTCTTACCTGCAACAATTGTTGTTGTAACATGAGAAATCCCACTAGAATCTTTTATTTCACCATACATTATTCTCCCTTGAACAAATACACGGGAACTAAAAAACAGTTACTTATCCAGGACCGGTTCTGGGCTCTTAGCCGCCTGCCCACTAGATATTTGGCCACCCTCGCCCGATTATATGAATCATGAGTAAATTTATAACTTACCAGTAAATTCTTATTGGTTGGCTTATATTTTTATGATAGGTCTGTATAGTTGACAGGAGTTATCAAATATTTTAATGGATTTTTTAAATTTTTATTCTGCTCTCCCATCTTATATTACTTATGAATTTCAATGTTAAACCAGTGATATTACAATTTTGTGTGTCCCATCTTTAAGAATATGTAGAAAAACGTACAATTTTTCTACAATGTTAAAAAATTAACTGTTACTTTGGAAGCATCATTTACAACTAAATTTAATGAGAGAGATGCACAAGGTACAGAAAAAGCTCTAAAATTTATTTTCCTTAAATTTACGATTTATGTATCCATTGCCATAAAAATTTGTCTTTCCACTTTTTTCCCAAAACTACAAATACAGTATTCAAGTACAAAGTAACCGGTTTCGACTTATTTCTAGTTATGAAGTAGTTAAATAATTAAGAGATTAGGGAATTGGGGACATAAATAAAACCCTGATGAAAGAGCCAGAATTTTACTTAAACAATAGCTTAACCAAAATACTCAAATATTTTATGTATAATGTTTATTCAAAGAAAATTTTACAATACACGTTGTTTAGGAGTATGAATCATCATCATCTTTTCTTCTAGCATGGAATGAACCAACGTGAAATGCAAATTTGATTTGCAGAAAACAAAAAATAATCACAGATATGTCTAATAAACACACCAAACGATATGCCAAATTCTTGGGCTATGTAAAAGCTATAATTAAATATTAGAAATTAATTAATTTGACTAGAGGTAGGCAGTTATGCTGCCATCTCGTATAAAAATAATTATAAATAAATAAATTTTAATTTTAACATTTTTGGAATTGGTCATTTAAATTTAATATAAGATGGCAGCATAAATGCCTACCTCTAGTCAAATTAATTCATTTCTAGTATTTAATTATAGCTTTTACATAGCCCAAGAATTTGGCATATTATTTGGCATGTTTATTATACAACAGGCTATGGTTGTTGATTTTTATATGTAATGTGTGTGAACACGAGTTTGGAAAAATGTGTGATCACAAGCAATGCTAAGATGCTAGTGTAATAAGTGCTAAACACAGACTGATGGAGCATGCACACAAGACTTCCCCTCACCTCGTCACTCATTATGCAAAATGTCTCTCATCAAGCAAGTCAGTTTTTTACAATTTGTTTGTTATGCGAGGAGCTCCTTAATTAAGCGAGGTTCCACTGTATATGATGATAATTATTTCACTACTACTGTTTTGTCACTAGGATAAGAATTATAGTATTAAAAAATTTAGTTTTGAAATAGAACTATCCTATACTGTTGGCTTTCCTCCTAGTACAAGATAATTGCATCAAATTAACTGAACAATGTAATAAATTAGACAAATTGTAATTTCTATAACTTTTACTTTGTGTAAGTAAAGTTTAAAAATGTTTCTACTAAGTAATCAGTTCTAAAAAACGGATTCCAAATTGAAAGAATTTTAAAATTTTAATAAATATTTGTCTAAAGATTGGTTTGTCATATTAACATTAATCTAAATATAGCAGATTAAGAAAGATGACTGTATCTGACATGTGATTAATTGTGAAGTTTTCAAAAATGTTCCAGGTAAATCTGTGAAAATTCTGAGTAAATGACAAACAAATCTCTGTAAAGCTATCAAGAATGAAAAGCCTGGGCTTCTTATTGCAGTAGTCACTTTTCTCCAGGATAGTGCTTGTCCACAACATCAAACTTTCAGAATCTCAGAAAGATTATGAAAGCACACTCCACATAATCCAGTCGTCTCATGTCTTTGGCAGTATAAAAGATGCACTTTGCAGGCATGTCTTCCAATTGGATGTCTGGACGAAGGAGGCACCAAGGCGCCACTAGCTGTTTGATTATGCTACCCCGTTTAATTACGACTACCTACGCTGAGCTTGCCAGAAAGGCTCTATAGTGTTCTCATAAGGGTGTGAAAAAAGAAAAGAAATACTTTACAAAGAAAAACTATTTATTATTACTAAGTTATTTTTGTTTACTTAAGTGTAAAACCATATAAATATTTATCTACAGAAATTGAACTCTTCTTGCCTTTATGTTTGCGAAATCTGCTATCAATTTTCTTGTATCCAAGCTGTCTAAGATTTCATGTTCAATTGAAACTATAGCTAAATTACTTAGTCTTTGCTGGTGCATTGTTGATCTTAAATAGTTTTTTTTATAATTTTTAACTTTGAAAAGGACCTTTCACCAAATGCAACTGAAACTGGCAATGAAAGTAATATTCTTAGTGCTATTGCTGTGTTCAGAAATGTTGAAATTAAGTCATTAGTAAAAAGATATTGTAATAGGGTTTGTGGATCATTAGACTGGTTTTTTGGAAAATGCAACTTTAAAGTATTGATTTCATTAAACAAATCAATACCATCAATGTCTGTTTCACTTCTTGAATCGTCTTTAAGCTTCAGATTTAAATCCTAACCAAGTTAAAATATCATTAATTATACTTAGACCCATGTCAGAAGAATTATTAACAAAATAATTGCAATTTGATATGCAATAGAACTGTTCAAATGCATACAAGTACAAATTGAGAAGGAAGCTCTGTGGGGATTCCCTATTTTCGCCAGTCCTGTCAATTTCTGTCCTAGAGCACGACTATGGGTACTTGGCTTTTGGGTGCTGCCAGATGGTTCAACCTGCCGACAGACGTTTCACATTGCAACTTAATTCTGATAAATGCCAATAGAGGAGGTGTTAATGCTATAATATAAACAAGAATATAGTAATTGCGTGCCGATCGGATTTTTTTCTCCATGCGAAGTCATTTCTTATGTTATAAGTAGGGTGGGTATTATGACGTAACCAATCGCTCAATTTGCTGCCCCCCTGGATGTGCCACCCGCGCGCAGTGCACGCCCGCTTACAGTGGGCCTGGCAGTCATGAAATGGTATTGTCAGCAACCAAAATAATAAAACAATCTTATAAAGAGGTAATATACATTCCTAAACAGTGCTGAAGAATATTTTGACAAATATTAAGGAGTGTATTGGGAAAAAAGTTATTTCTGGTTTTCATTTGACTGCAGTAATAATTTTAAATTGTATACAAGTTACAATAGCTATAACATTTTGAAATCACTAATTATAAGTTCAGAGATATTTACATAATGCATTAAAAAACAAATTAGAAATAGAATCTTTATTGACAAATATACAACATTAGACTGCAAACTGAAAACATTTTTAAAATCACAAGTTTAATATATTAATCTTCATCTTGTTCTATTTGTCTGCTGCGTGAATCACCAAGAAATACTACATCATCTAAGTGTGATATTGTTAATTAAGATGTTTAATTAAAAATTGAAAATTTAAAATTTTTGTTGTCTTACCTGCAACAATTGTTGTTGTAACATGAGAAATCCCACTAGAATCTTTTATTTCACCATACATTATTCTCCCTTGAACAAATACACGGGAACTAAAAAACAGTTACTTTTAGACAAAATTTACCTAAATGACATTAGTTTAAATTTACCCTTAAATTTACCCTTTTTTCAAATACTGATTCAAATTTGAACGTAAATGTTCCCTAAAAACTGAGATTCTATGCCATTCTGTCTTCTGTCGAGTTTCTCCTAAATTATTTTAAATTCTTACAAATTACATTAACATCTAAAATCTCACAATCTAATATAAAATCTATTTGAAAATGAAGTAATACCTGAACCATATTTATAATTTGTATTAGTTGCCAGAGTGAATATAAGGACTTTATTACTTTCAGAACCTCTCATTTGAGGATCCATTCCAACTCTTCCAAGTAATGTCACTTGATTGATGCCTATAACAGAATTTAATTTTAATATTTAGAATTTATAATAGAATTTTAATTTTGACAAACGATTTACAATAATACAAAACTAAAATATCATATATTGTATAAAAAAATTCCTTTTGTGATCAAATATGTGAAAACATTAACAATGACTTAATATACTATATAAGCCATTCATGTGATTGTCATAACATAATGGTAAATAAACAATTATTTCTCAGTAGTTTTTCTAATTTGAAACAAAAATTGTTTTATGTATATAGTAGCTATGCTACATCATTTAATAATTAAAAATTTTTCTCTTTTCTAAACAAATGACTAGAGTGAATAAGATTAAAATCATGACCATGTAATATCAATTTGGCAAAATATAATTACACTCATTTTTGTATTTGCATACATCTAGAAATTATCCAATCACAACAATTAGTATTTTTCAGATATAATTATTTATTTTATATAAAACTGAATTAATTACATTGTTATATCATTTATAACTTTTTCATCAATCATATATAGTGGTATATTTAACAGTAGCATAACCATGGATGGCTACAGGGTTCCCTTACTTTTATAAGTTTATAATTTGATTCTTTCTTAAAGATTTATATGTGATAGAGACATTAATACACATGTATATACAATAACTAAGAGTTTACTCTCTGTTCACAATGCTACAAGGATGAATGTAGGTTTGCATGTTCTAATTCAAGTCCCTATATAATCAGTTTACTTATACTATTAAAATTTAATTATGGTTATAATAGAAAGAATCAGTATTTTTCAAACTAAACATCTAATGTTTTTAACTAAGTAATGACACTGACCAAAAAACTAAGAATAATTTAATAACTGTGGATTTTTGCATGAAAAACATGGTGGTGAGTATAATTTATTAAATTAATTTCTTCTTAGTAGGAATTTTAATTAGTGTTTATAAAAATTCAAAATTTATTATTTTTATAATAATTAGTAGTTTGCTTTTAGTAAAATACTAGGGATTCTGTCCCTGATTTTATTCAGAAGTCTAACTCTGTCATTTCATGTAACTTTGCAATGTTCCCATATTATTATTATTTACAAAAAAATTGTTGTAAATTGCAAAAAGTTTTATATATTATTTCAGTTAATTTATTTATTAAAAAATCAATATTAAGAGAAAAATAAACACATTAATTTACTTTGCATTATTTTAACCTAAATAAAAAATTATCATAAAAAACAAACAGATGGCACTTACAATCATTCATTCTGATTCACATGCTTATGGTAAAATGGTAAAGCTGTAAATGATAACTTATAGCACAAATTATTATTATTATTGAGATTTCAGATTTTTCTGATAATATATTTAGCACAGTTGAAAAAAGATGTCATTTCATTTGTCTGTAAGAAATCTATTTTTATTCAAACTTTTTATTTTAGTGAGTCAGTAACTTAAGTCAGTCATCAGTCAATGAGATAAACATAGCTTTATTATGTTAGATATCTAAAAACTGATATTATTATAGAAATACAAAAGAAGAATTGTAAAAGTTATGAAAGATCTTTGTAATGCAACATATATGAACATTTTAAAAATATCAATATGTAGCCAGTTCAAACACCATTATTCTCTAGGAATTATCACATCCACAGATTCCACAGCTATAAAAACATTACTGTCTAATAATTAATCACCAGTAACAGATAAGGCCTCACAATAAATCTTATTCTGAGCATCTAACTGAAAATTGAATTTATTGTAGTTATTAAATTCTTCTTAGCAATTTATAATGCTAAATTTCAATTTTTCATCTTTTAGATTTTTAGAAGTTCATTATATACGAATATATAATTTTAGTTAAATAAAAATAGTCTAGAATTTAATTTATCAGGATATTTGATAATCATCATTAAATAAAAAGCAAGTTAGGAAATTTGATGTTTGTTTAGTGATATTGAATTATTATTTTCTAATGTAAACAATCAGTTAGGAAATTTTGTTGTAATGTTAACATTACAACAGCTCTTTGACATGTGTTTTTAACTCTGACATTAACAAATGTCAGAGTTAAAAACATATAACTGTAATTTGTTCATTAACATTAAATATCACATCATTATATTTAAGTTTTATTCACAAATTTGAATGAATGCTAAAAAAATATTTAATAAATTTCTTATTGAATAAACATATTTTAATTATACCTTTTAAGAATGGATACAACAATAAATACTATAACATTTCATAAAAATAATAAATTTTTATGAAATACATTTATTAACATTTCATAAAAATAATAAAATTTTATGAAATGAATTTATCAGAAACTCCTAGAAAAAAAATAGCAACACTTTAATTAAAAAACTTTAATTTAAACTTACTTTTCTCAATACTATGTGATCCTTGATCAGAGAATGACTTGACATGCTTTAAAATAGGAAACTGAAACAATACATTTTAATAAAAAAACTATTTAAAAATTTTATTTACAAAATTTTCTTATTTGAATTAATTATAAACCTTACTAATAAAAATATAATGTACAGTACATGTAACAATTATTAAACAAACAAACTTTAAAACTACTATAATATTATTTTAAAGTTTTTTCTACAGAACTACCAAATATTTAAATATTTTTTTAAAACAAATAACATGCAAGTTTTTAATTAGTATCACTAGTTATTACATGTATCAACATTAAAACTGAAAAAATTTGCTGAATGACAAAAAAGACTGCTTCTACTATTGTGAACAATTTGGATTAGAAATTCAGTTTCCTGTTATAAACAATGTCAACGATTCACTTATGATTCAAACTCATTCACAATGGAAGCCAAAAATTGAAACTAGGTGCAGTTTAAGCTAGTATTCTGTACAGGGTGCCCCACATAAAAATGGCCCAGTTAACATAATTGAGTAAATTACTGTAATCTTCATATTTGATAAATGAAAAAAAGTGAGACAAAATCTCTCTGAAAACTTAGTTTTATTCATAAAACACGGAAACTTGCATAATCAATGCTTCAGTTTAAGGCAGTCCAGTTTAATTCAATTAGTAAATGGGACACCCTGTATAGTAAAACTAATGTAAAGATTCTCTATTAAAAAAAATCTCAAAAATAATAATTGTGCTATAAGTTATCATTTACAGCTTTACCATTTTGCCATAAGCATGTGAATCAGAATGAATGATTGTAAGTGCCATCTGTTTTTTTTAATAGAGAATCTTTTTTAAAAATAATCGGTGTAAAATATTAATAAAATTTTTCAGAATTGTGTGTGAGATCTGGAATTTTTAAGGGACATTTCATCTAATTTTCATGAGATTTTAACTTAATTTCTTAATGCAATCGTTAAAATGACATTGCTGGAAAAAGAGATTAAATGTCATCCCTCTCATCAACAACCACTAAAATTCTATAACACTCCTTCGAAAACATCAACATTTGCCTGTACAAACATAGTTGATCTAACGTTGCAGGTATCAAAGGGTACAGTTGATGTCTGATTTCACCATCTTCTCATTGTCCCAGGAACACCTCTAACCCAACAACTGCAGAATCAACCTTCATCTTTGACAACACTCAATCAGATAACCATTTTCCCAAGCCAATCCGAATATAAGACTGATACACCCCCCCTCTGAGGCAGTCTCTTTGAAATCTTAACTGGTGCAGATATAGAGTCACGATAGGATATTAGTGTGTTACACATGGAAAAGGCGGATAACCAACAATCTTCCAGAAATTTGTGTGAAAGAGGTACGATATTCTCCAAAATGTTGTAAATTCTCTCTCGGTCCCTCAATTTGTAAGCAAGAGCTTAGTTAATTTGAATACCCTCTCATTTAAAATGTAAGCGAATAACTTAATCAATGCTGTATTCAATTTTATATTTTTATATTTCTGTAATTTTGTTATCCATTAAATTTTTTTATTTTCCTTGTTAATGGTGTCTATTATCCTTAAATGGCATACGCTTTTTGACGTGCGTCCCCACTGTTTCCTTTTTTCTGTTTGCTGGAATCAAAGACGAGCCGCCATTTTACTCACCATAGGTAACATTAACTGTACAATTATATCATGCGATCACCAGAAAAAGTATGATTACTTTATTATGTTTCGTCTCCTGTCCAAAAGTAGGGTATCATTGACGTCATCTCGGTCTCCTCAGTTTAGATAGATACTCAAAGTCTCGAATTTTCCTAGGTGGTTATCTATATACTGTAATAATTTCCCTAATTGTATTAATATTTTAACCGTTTGATTTTTTGTATAATTTTTAATTGGTTGATGATTGATTCTATATACTAATTTGTTAATTGTTTGATTGTTTTAACTGTCGATTATTCCGTTTTATATGAATTCCATGTTGTACGAGTCACTTAGATTTTACAAATACGTGTGTCGGGCTGTGAACGGCTCACGTATTTGTGAAATCTAAGTTACTCGTACAACATAGAATTCATATAAAACGGAATAATTGACAGTGTTATAGGGGGTCAACTGTAAGTTTAATTAAATAAGATTACTGAATACAAACATAAATCTGAAATTTACTAATACATAAAAATAATTAGACGTTCAAGGTAACGAATATAAAATTATCTCACCGTGTTTTTCAGCTAACAAGAAAGATATTCTTGCAATTATCATATAGAATTGCAGAAGAATTCTAAAATATGTTTTCATTATTACGGTTAAAGCCAGCTTAGTATAAGGAATGTCAGACTGCAATCTGCAACAGATTAATATAAATGACGTCAAGGGTAATAATTAACGTGAAGTACAAAAGTAAAATCGATGTTTAATTAAATTTTGTTTTCGTTCTGCGGCAAGTCAATATTTTAATTAACTTTTAAAAAAAGAGAAAAATTAAATTAAAAATAATATGTTTACAACTTTTTTCACGTTATTGCTCTTCAGATTTTTAATTAGTTTTTCGTTTCAAAAATTTAACAATAAACTACTCGTAATTTACCAAATATTTTTTTTTACCTATTAATTCACAATGCATTTTTCGTGCGTTGATTTAGTATAAAAATTCAACGTAATACATATCGGTATGACACGCGATTGACTTGCGAGAGATGCTTTTTACGAGAACATGGTCAATTTTGACGTTAGGCACATTAGAAAAAAATACATTGATAGATGTTAAATGAGACTTGTTGCACGTTGCCATTCTACCAATTATCTTCACTGTTTTATACGGTCAGCCAATGATGGGCACAATATAGTCATGTTATATTTAAGTTTTGAAACTTCTCATTCATATGTAAATATTTTATTACGAATTTTTGGCATTTTTATAAACGAAGGAAATTATCATTTATTAAAATACTCATGATTCATGAATATTTTCTATCCGCATTCTCATTTTTCTGTTGATTCCGAAGAAGATTTTGGTAACCTTCATCAAACTTCAATTGCTTGAACGTTGTGACTTTCCTGTGCTTTGAGAAAATTTTCCATTGTTTACGTTATCAAAATTGTTGATAAAGTTTACGAAACGGCAAAGGTCATGAAATTTACAACATTTCTTCCTGCAATTTGCATCGATTTACGTATTCAACGTGATTTCTGTACAAATTTAAACAGTTTTAACGATTGTCAAATGAAAATCGGTAAAATAAAAGACTTTGTACAAAAAAACATGTCGTGCAACGGTTAATAAGTGCTTGTTGTGCCAAAAACACGCAACTGTGTTAATTAAGGGCGAAAGTCCCAAACTTCACGAACTTTCCCGCCCACCGCAAAAATAAAACTGCACAACACTGGTAATGAGTTCGTGTCTTGCCATCAGGCTGTCCACGTAAAGTTTTATTGGTTTTCCTCTCGTTTTTAACACCTAACNTAGATGGCACAATTTAAGGAATTACTGAAAACGTATTATCGATGTAATTAATAATTTATTAATAATAAAAATTAATTTTTATGTTATATTAATATTTATTTTAAAATAAATTAAATTTTTATGTCGATAGAAGTAAAAAATTATTACTCGCAAGTCACGTGGTTTTATGTTTAAAAATCCTGTAAGCAAAACATGCGGTGACACGTGGATTTAAATATTGTTTCCACAGAATTTTATAGGAAAGGTGTAACAACAGGTGAATTCCGTTATTCCCGATATTCTGAGTTATTTATTTAGTTTTTTAAATATTTATAATATTTATAAATTAAAGATTTATTTTTTAAAGAAAATTAGAAAATTGTAATTTACTTTCTTATCATTTTTAATTATAAATTTTGGTTAAATTGTATAAATATAAATTCAAATATGAATTATTGCACTAAAGATATGTTATATATTTGTTAAATGTTATATGCTGATACAATATATTATAGAAAAATACTGTAAATATAATGTATTGTATATGATGATTTTTATTATAAGTTATATATATATAATATACGTAATGAATTATTTAATATGAATAATGTATTTTTATTTTTTTAAAAAATGACTTTTTAATATAACATATATCTATATTAAAAAAGACTGTCAGTACATAACAATATAAATTATACATACCATATAAATTACATACATGATATGTATAGTATATAATTTTTGTGTATGCAGTCTCAAAATTTTCACTTGTAAATAGATAAAATATGTCTGTGAAAAAAATTCTAATATATTATATTCTAATAGCTAATATAAAAGCTTCAGTTTTCTTTTAATTTTAAAATATTTACACAAGTAACACAAATAAATTTTAAAAATTTGACATTTTGACATAAACAAATAAAATTTTATATTTACCAACCTAAATTATATATATACTGTATATATTGGACAAATTTTTTGAACTTAGATGAAGGTACAGGACTAATTATTGCACCTTTACTAGAAAAAATGCTGTTTTTAGTTTAGTAAATTATCCCAGTGGCTAGTATATCTTCATTAAATGAAAGTATTTCTGAGTATAAAAATTTATTTAAAAAATTTTTTTTATTTGGATTAAAGCTGTAGTATTTTTTATGTAAAAGTGATTAGTATTTTATATAATTACATGTAAATTTTAGCCATATGTTTTAATTATTTGCAGATAATACTGCTTCAAGACATTTTATTTTTAAATATTTCTATAATTAATTTATTTTTGTAATTTTTATTTTTATAAAGTTGCTGAATTGAATGACCTATGTAATATGATTTTGTGAAAAATATTTTTCAGTATTGATATTATCAAACATTTTGCGAAACATAACATTTGCAAAATGTTTGATAATGCTAATATTATAGATCATTGCCATTTACCAATATACTTGTTTATTTATTAATATAGTTTTTTCTATTAAGGTTTCTCAGTTTAAAAAATTTACCAAAAATTTTAAGAATACTGTACTCATTTTAAGTCAATTATTTATTACAAAGTTATAAAAAAAATGAATATTTTGTCTTAAGAACATTGACAAATTCAATTGATTTAGTAAGAGAATACTGTTTTCATGATAGTAAAGTTAGTTTTAGTTAATCCTGATATTGTTTTGTATATTTGCCATATGGTATAGTTCTCATTAAAGTGCTTTAAAAGCTAATTAAATGTTAATATTGTACATCTATCTTTATTTTAAAGAACATTGCAGTAAAGATATTCTGAATTTGAAATAATTTGTAACAAATAGTTTATAATTACTACTTTTTTCAATATTCAAGTACAGTATTTATAAAATGTGTTTTAAAGATAAAACACATTTTATCTTTAATATTTGAAATAGATTCTGAACATAATAAGCAATTTGGTCATATGGAAAATTATTTTGCAAGTTAAATAAGTGAAATAGGAATATAGTTTTATAAATTCAATTTAATAAAGAATAGTTGCTTGCCCTAAATGAATTTTTAAAATGTATTTAAAGTGTTTTATCATTATCATTTTAAAGTAAAAATTAGTCATCTTTTTGAATATTTGTATTTTATAATATAAAATGTTTCTTGCTTAAGGATGCCAAATGTTAATTTATTAAAGCTGTAATGTTTTCATCTAGAGGCTCACTATTCAGAATTTTCAACATATCTGTTTGGAGGTCTTCAAACACCAGGTATGTTTATGTGATGCAGTCAAAAATATTATGCACAGCTGGTAAAGTGTGATAAAGTCTACATTATTGGCCAGATGGTAGCAAAATGGCCATTTTGCCACCATCTGGGTTGTTCTGAGCTGAATGTTGGGGCAGTGGACATGTAAGAATACATACACAGCAGATAGGCTTTGGGTGCTACAGACAGATAACTGGATGAAGTTGTTGAAAATATACTTTATAAAAAATGCATTACAAAAAGAAATATTTGTTCATGCTATGCAGGTTGAATAAGAAATAATTATATAATTTGATGTGGCTTAAAGAAATAATTAATTTGAATTATTTAGGGTACTGTTCCTGATATGTTTATGCCACTCTGTTCAGAAAACCAAATCTTACTGCTTCTATGAATGTACTATTAATTATGATTACAGTACAACTATGATCATTTATCATCTTACCATATTCATCTAATACCTAATCATCAAAGATGAAGGTAGATAAATATACAACAAATTTTAAAACTACTGTTAGCCAAGAGCAAATAACAGAATCCTAAGAATCACTCGGCATTGATAAAAGAAGATTTTTTTTATTTACAATTAAGACCGAAGTTTTCCGAAGAACAATTATACAAACTTAATAACTAGGAATTTACAGAGATCCTTGTACTGATCAACCATAACAATGCAACCAGCTGATTCACACGTGTCAACAAAACAAAGAACTTATTCTAACTTATGTCTATCTTAACTATAACTTAAAAATATACACAAAAAAAGGGCCCTCGATCAAGATGGGATTGATAAGAATAGAATTTTTGATAGAAAAAGAAAAGGGTCAAAGGCAAAATTTCTAAAGGTTCAAAAAATTGAACCTCAAGTCAGTTGTTCCGGAGGAATCTTCTTTCCATATTCACTGATATCTATGTCTTCTCCTTCCCAGCTCTTCTCCTCGAATGATGACTTTTTCCCTTTCCTCTCATGCCAGTCCCCTTTGACCAATCCGGTGTCACCCCTATTCTCTAGTGACCCATCGGACCATTGGGTCAACCAATTATCATGAGGTCAACAGAACAAAGGCCAGAAGTGAATTTATGAAGGGAAAATGGTGGAAGAAAGAGAAACAAACAAAAAAAAAAAAAAAAGAAACAAGACTCAAGCCACGAAGGAAAATTTTTAGGATGTGTGAAAGTAGAGTGCCTGAAGGAGCAAAAACAAGGCTCAACAAGCCACACTACAAATTGGAAAATTGATCTAATATTCTCTAGTTGAATTAATCTGATGTCACAGTTAATAATCTGAAGTCACAGTAATAAATGTGGTACATCCATAATATGTAGCTTTCTTTGCCATCTCACAGAAGCAACTAATAACATGACATAAAAAATCATATGCTGTCAATATTTTCATCATATAACTTCTAAATTTATTGGCAACTTTAATAAATTTAGTTTAACAAGCATTTTCAAAATTTGTTACCACTAATATACATGTCAGTTAAACTAGTTGGACTTTTTATTGTCAGAAACAAACAATAGCATTTGTTTATTATCATTTATTATTTATAAATTGTAAATATTTGTGGTGTTTGCACCTGCAACTCCCCAGGTCACCACACCTGGTTATTTACCAGTCGGGAAACAATGTTATATAAGAAGAAAAGGACCACATGATGTGAGTGGTCAGTGTATGTTGAGAAGAAAGGATTATTTGTCATCAGCTTGCGAAGAGTCCTGTACTGTACATACAGTCCAAGTGGTATACAAAATTCTTTGTAAAATAAAAACATTTGTTCAGTTACCTCAGCATTGTTTGTTTTATCTGTTCCATCTACATTACTGGTGAACACAAGTTCTGTGACATGAACTTTGAACTATACAACATTTTTTGTCCACAATACCTTCAAAAGTTGAGGTAATAACATCTTTGCTTGATTCCTGCTAAAAATGAATATAGAAGATACTCAGCCTTTTTTTAACAAGATCCATTGTGTCACCTTCAGAGCATCCCCATTCTGGAAGGCAAATCCAGCATTATGGTTTGTGCAAGTAGTCTCATTTCATCATCTCGGGAATAACAACTGGAATCTATTCCACTAAATCATGGCCACACTCAAAAGTGATGTCCTTATGCAAGTACATACAGGTGCCAACATCTCCATCATTCCAGTAACAAGAAGAAAAAGGCAGAAACTGCCTTTGAAAGTTGCCCTCATCATCACCAACAGTTCAGTCATCTATACTTTTGGTGAGCGTTTGCTCACACTTGACCTTCACCTCTGCTGCAAGTTCATCTCACCGTTTATTGTTGCCACAGTTTCACAACTGATCATTGGAGTTGACTTTCTCCATAAATTTAGCCTGCTGATTGACATAAAAGAAACTGCCAACTTCTCAATCAGAAGATGCACCTTCAGGCAATTAGCCACATATCACATTGCCCTACTTCTGGTGTAAGCATCATGTTGGCAGACACACTGTACCACCAACTACTTGCTCACTTTCTGGATATCATACAACAAACAGAATCCAATGCCTTCCAAACACAATGTAGTCCACTACATTCAAACTACCAGACTTCCTGTCTTTGGCGACCCTAGGCTACCAATCACTTACATGCTGCACATGAAGAGTTTGAACACATGATGCAACTGGGAATTTGCAGGCCATTTAAAAGCAGCTAGGTAAGTTCCCTTTATCTTGTTAAAAAAACCCAACAGTGATTGGTATCCTTGCAGCAATTATCATCAACTCAATACCATCACTGTTTGCAACAGAAACCCATTACCTTACATACAAATATTGTATACAAATATTGCATGACAAAAAGATTCTTTTTTTTTTATTTTACTCTCAACTTACAATGGGCATATTATCAGATTCCCATGAACACATTCTGAAGACTGCAGTTACTACCCTCTTTAGCATGTTCAAGTTCCCATTCAAACCTTTTGGATTATGTAATGCAGCACAAACCTTTCAGCATTTTATTTATCAAATGCTGAGAGGCTTAAATTTCTGTATTTCCTACTTAGATGATGTACTAGTGCAGGGATGTCCAGCTTGTGAACCACACTGAGGCCCACTGCACCCTAAATTTTTTTAGGTACATTTTCATTTATTTTGGTAAAGTATGTTGTAGAAATTATTCTCATTTCACTGGATACACTTTTATGTCATAATGATGTAATTGCTACTAGAAAATTGTTTTTTACAGAAAACTGTCATGCATGTGGGGTAGTACATACTGTTGCAATCAATTCTTTTCATGCATGAAAAATATCAAAACTGCTGAAAGAAATAGGTTGAGTGATTCCCATTTAACTAACATTCTTACAATTAAGACTAGTATCATAAAAACAGATGTTGACAATATTATAAAATGAAGGCAATGTCAAAAATCTCATTGGATTTATCTTTATTTTGTGTGAGTATAATTTCTTTTTTTACTGTCAACAAATAATACAGTATTTTTTGTAGTTATATATATTTGTTATTACAATTTGATAATCACATTTTAAATTTTTTTAAAATATATATTTATATAAAGTACCTTTGTGGTCCACTGAATATATGTAAATTTCTAATTTGGCCCATTAGAAAAAAAAGGTTGGACAACCCTGTACTAGTGGCTTTCAACTCACCCAAAGAACATACACAGCACCTGGAGATAGTTTTCCAGCATCCTGGTGATGCTGGTATTGTGCTCAACTCATTGAAGTGTATCCTTAAAAAACCTTCTGTCACCTAAATTGCACATGAACAAGACTGTGTTGGAGGGCTACCTGTGTTACTCAAATCCACTTCATCTTCTAGCCTCGATCTAGCTAGATGACACTGACAAGTGGCTTTATTGTAACGTTTCTTCAGGAGCAGTTCAACCCTACATTCCTCAAGCATTATGCTGCAATCTTTAACTTCATTTATGGTCTCTCTCATCTAAGTATACATGCTGCTTCCAAAATGTTCTTGTAGCATTCTGTCTGGCCTTCTATTAACACTGATGCCACCAACTGGACCCAATCTTGCATAACCTGCCAACAGTCAAAGATCACCAGACATATGACCAACCCTGTTGGCAAGTTTCCCCTGACATCTGAGAGGTTTTCACATCCATCTACATATTATCAGGCCACTTCCTCCATCCCATGATTTTTCTTACTGTCTTACTTGTATTTCAGGCAGTGCTCTGCAGAATCTGGCAGCACATTTGTGCGATTTAATGAAAGTAATAGTAGTAGTGCCTCACTTGTATCAACAGATTTATAAGATGGCCTGAGGGAATAACTATAATGGACATTTCCACTGATATAGTGGCCAGAGTCTTCTACTCTGTTTGGGTAGTTTACTTTGGAGTCCTGGCTTGTGTCACCACGAATCAAAGATGATAATTTGAATCCAAAATATCTCAGAAGCACTTTTGATATGTATAGAATGTCTTCTTCAGGTGAAATGAAAATAATTTTATAACATTGATATAAATTGATATATTTATTGAGAAATTGGAGCTGTGTAATAAGCCTGCTTTAGAGCTCCAAAAAATATGGGTTGTACTATTTAATACAGTAGTCCCTCATTATATCATGGATTCAGATATATGCTTTTTTTGGTCCCCTAAATTTTAAATGAATTTGAGTCAATAAATTTTAAATTATCAATTGCCATTGAATTTTTTTTTTGCAATGAAATATGGTATTTTATTCCTACCATTGTCCTTGAAATTATCATTTGTTTCCTTTTGATATTGAAAGTTGTTTATTTATTGGTTTTAAGTAGGCCTACTGTCTCTTCATTTACAAGTTTCTGTGAATTTGAAATTTTACACCTTTATGTGAATTGACAGTATTGCATCAATTCACACCTTTATTCATTGTGTAAGGAACAGATTTCTTTATTTATGAACAAAGTTCTAAAATTTTTATACAGTAGTAACTTTATTTTGCTTTTTTCATAGAATTTTTACTGTGTAATTTTATATGTTTTGTTGTTCTATTATATGTTCAATATTTATTTTTTAAATTTTCAATTACTGAATTTATAATTTTTATTGAAAAATATAAATTACACAAATTTTTAATAAGCAATTTATTTTGAAATACTGTATAATAAAATCACAATTGATATTTTGTTTTTATATTGACAGTATTTGTCTTAAATGTCATTGTTAAAGAAACAATAATGCTAAATGGGTGTTTGTGGTATTGATGTTTATGTAAATGTCAATTAATATGATATAACTACAAATAAAATTCAGTATTGCAAAACTATGCTTATTTTATGATATAAGCTGATGAAAGAATAGAGGATAGAGATTTCATAGCATGTATAATCTGTTTAGTAAAAACCCAGAATTTTTAGTACTCAGTTATATTGCACTACCAGATATATTGCACTTTTCCTTGTCTCCTGACAAGTGCTATATAATGAAGGGCTATTGTAATTTAAAAAAATTAAACCCTAGCTACCAATACTTTTTGATTTTAGTTTGACCATTAATTAAATGAATAATTTAGTAGCACATCGTTTAAATTTAACATTTACGTTCCAGTTAGAACAAATTGACATTAAACAATTAAAAGTAAATATGAAAGAACATTGGCTCAAGGAATATATACAATTTGAATCTTTTCTATTCCAGGCACCATATCAGGACTACTTCATATCACCCCACATTGAACAGAATGGTGAAATGTTTTCATAGGTCATTAAAAATGGGATTAAGATGCCATGTCTCTGACCATTGGGTTGATGGTCATAGACAATGGTATTGCTTGGTTTAAGATCTATATTCAAGGAGGATATTTAGTCTACAACCACAGAGCTTGTTTAAGGCAGCCCACTTCACCTTCCAAGTGAATTTTTGGCACCAACTCAGTTGGCTGTAGAACCTGCCACTTTTTTTGGACAGCTAAAGAACTATATTCCATGTCTCCAGCCCCAGCTGGAGGCGCATAGAATGGATGCCACAGTTTTTGCCCCCCGCAACACATGCATTTCTGAGGAATGATACTATCCAACAACCCCTACAACAACCTCAGAATGACCCATACCAAGTACTCTCATGCACTCAAAAAATTTTCAAGATACTGGTCAACAATAAAACTGTCCATGTAAATATCAACTGGATTAAACCAGCTTTCCTCTCACTCAACTTATCATCAATTTGGTTGGAGTGCACACTTCCAACCTCGCATCCAAGATCATCCCCCTCCTCACACACCACCTGACTTGACACCAGACCTGGTCCTTTTGACTCCACCTATCACGACACAATCTGATAGATGAGTAGTGTTTCCACCTTTTCAAAATTGCTGACCTGGACGGCAGGTGAGTTTTGTTCAAACAGAAGTTCCTGACGCATGCGCAATGTCATTTTGCAATGCGAAGAATAACATGCAGTACATGTCGGTTCTAAATCGGATACAGTTAGGAACTAGGGAGACTTGGGTAGGAGTAATGTAAGTAATCTAAATTAAGAAAAAACAACTACAGATGACTTAGCTCTATTGGATAGCTATTGGATATTGGAGACGTGTACGAATACGAATCGTACAAGCAAAAATAAAAAAAAAAAAGGTTGACAGGTTGTGCACGATTTTCCCGGACCAGATTAATAGTTCACCTGGACAGTGAGTCGATTCCCGGATTGTCCAGGTGAAAACCGGACAGTTGGTAACACTATAGACTAGTTTGCCTCACTACCTATAAATCATTCTCCAAATACCAGATGGTTTATTTTATTCTGAGGTCATATGATGATGTCAGAATTTCCGAGTCTCTTTCGGTAACAAGTCTGCCCCTAGTCGGAGTCGGATGGTAAGGAAGAGTTGGAGTCGGAGTTGGAGTCGGTAGATTTTTATGCGACTCCACAGCCCTGGATATAATTTAAGTGCAAATAAAATTTAAAAATTTAATAGGTATAATGTTTTTAATTATACATAACCTTTTAACCTATTTCAAATTTGTTAATTTTAATCATAATTCTATACATCAGATGGCGCCACGTTTGCATACCGGCTTCATTTTGGGGTGAAATNTCAAAATGAAATATTTAAATATATTTTCAGAAATATGAAGTTCAATGATTGTATACCATTAATTATTTCAATATACATGACAAAATTTTCATTATCTGCACCTGTTGATTCTAAGAAACAAAATCCATATGATATAATAGATGATTTTGTAAGTTTTATTATTTTGCTTATTTTTAATTTATTATTATTAAATAGTTTAGAATTAATGTAGGTTTTGCAAATAGAAATTTTTTAATACTAGTATTAATGTCACTATTATTTTTTTTTTAATAGAATCTTGAATATAATAATTATATGAAAGAAGTTGCTAAAATTTTGGAAGGAGATGAAGACTTCCTTAAAGAAATTAAAAATATTGCACATACAGATGATTTTGAGGTATAATTTGGTTTCATTCACACTAAAAAATACTTTACTTTATTATTATTATATCTTTAAATCAGATTTGTAAAAGCATAAGAATCTTGGTATCATAATAATGATCCAATAAATAATTGATTGGTTAAGAACACAGACTTATTTATTTTGGAATGTTTTCACTCCAAAATAAATAATTCACTTTGGACCATATTCAGCATGCACATAAATCAAATGTAGAATAATGAAATGGAATCTATATATATTCCATTTCATTATTCTACATTTGATTTATATATATATATATTTTAAGATAACTACTTCCAACAATTTAACACCTCGTTGAATAATAACGATCCACGAAAAAACCTTTTTTTACGAGGTTTTTTTGTGGATCGTTATATATATTTTAAATTTTACAAAATAAAATATTTTAAAAATATGTCACATTTTACTTTTCTGACTGTTAGATATATAAACACCAGAAGATATTGGAATTATGTCATATTTGACTCTCCAGGTTTTTTTGCAAATCTCAACATTTTGAGATGACCTGAACTAAAAAAGTCAAAAAAAGGGAATTCCATATGTTTGTTGGATTCTGTTTCATTTATCTCATGGTGGGATAAAGATTAAGAAATATCATTTGACACAGTAACTGTAAATAAGGGCATTTATGCTATTAAATTTTAATGGTTAAAAGCTGTGGAAATGGAGAGATAGAGCTATTTTTGGCTACTATTAATAATTAAATTTGAAGTAATTCGGTACTACAAGTAGGCATTAGGTGACATCTCTAGTTAAATTTAATAATTAGAAATAATTTAATTTAGAATATTCTAGAAGAAAAAAAAATNATTTAATAATTATAATTAAATTAATATTTATTAAATAATTTAAAATATTCTGGAAGAAAAGAAACGGCCCGGAGTGGGACTTGAATCCCCAAATCCCTGCTTATCATGCAGATGTGTTGCCAGTTATGCTACCCAGACTTCAGTCTGACACTTTGCTTCCAGACATACTAACTATGGATGGTTGTATCAAAAATTAAATACTGTATTTATTCGCATATAAGATGAGATTTTTATTCATTTTTTGTTGCTTCAAAAACCTAGGTCATTCTATATGCGCGAACGAAGGATTCTTTGCATTTTTGCTATAATTTTTGTGAACTGTGTTTTCACATTTTTTACCAGATGCTCACCCTCTGGTGTTTAAAAACAAAAGTATTTTATCTGGGTCATTTCAATCATTCTTGTGTATTGTCAGGCATAAAGATGAATAGCAATAGGAAAAGCAAAGCTTTTGAATTGAATTCCAATTTGAAATCACATGGGAGCCCAATATAAGTTTTAATCCATTCCCATGTGAAAACAGATGATTACTTGGAAATCAGAATTTGGAGAAACTCTAAGTGTAATCGATGGAGAGTGGATTTGACTGTTAAGAATTGGCAAAAAAGATTTCCCATTGTCCAACTTTACATGAACAAATTATGTTGTTGATTTTACAAGATTTTTCTTTAAAGTTTAAAATGCCAGTAATTTTTGCGAAACAATGTGTGCATTTACGTGCATTTGACATTTTATTTATGATTAAACGAAATAAAATTAAATTGTATTAATAAATCAAATTTTCTTTATTTTGATCTTTAAAGTCACACCTTGTCCTATATGCAAGATCGTCTTATAAGCAAATAAATATGGTATGTCTTGAACTGAAGGGTTAGGGGAAGGTCCGGGTAGCATAACTGGCAATGGATCTACGCAGTAAGTAGGAATTGTGGGTTAAAGTCCTGCTCTGGGCCATTTCTTTTCTTCCAGAATATTCTAAATTATTTAATAAATATTAATTTAATTATAATTATTAAATTTAATAAGCTATAGCACCTTAATGCCTACCTCTAGTACTAAATTACTTAGAATTTAACTATTAATAGTAACTGAAAGATAGCCCAATTTTATTATGGTGATTGTTTGGCTTTGATTAATAACATTGGGTTTTGAGTTTATATATGTCACCAATACTTTAAATTATTATCTTTTTTATCTATTAGATTGATTACTTCATATTTTTAAATTTTGCATTTTTAATAGTCTTTTTGTTGAAATTTTAAAACATTTCTTAAAAATTTTAGTTTTGTAAATATTCCATTACATTATTGGGCTGCAGTTTGAAAAAATTGTAGACCTATAAATTTCCACTGTTGTTTGTCCACTGTCTGTCTGTCCTTAATCTCACGAATGGAGTTAGATAGATGAAAGATGAGACTATATATATGAAAACCTTAGGGATAGAAGGCGTCAATTAACTATATTCAAACTTCTGATTCAAACTGGAAGTCATGTTATTTCAATTCAAAGATTTTCCCCTGAAAGGAATTAGATAAATGACTGGCATGACTATTGTTAAAGGAAAAGTATGATGTACAGGGGGAAACCACTACTAATTTGAAGTGGAGAGCATATATTTTAAATGAAATAAATTAAAAATAGGATTGTCACAATGCCAGGCTGCAATTTTTAATGTCACCATAAATAATTACTCATTTTATATTCAATTTACATGTACACTGAAACCAGCTGTCCCTATTGAAGCCAAAAATGCTTAAAAAAATAATAATGTTGTTGTCTTCAACCATGCAGTTGTTTATTGAATTTGTTTCAATGATGATTCATGCTAAATTACAATGGAATTTTTTTTTTTTTTTCAATAATTTTTTCAAAATGTATTATTTNTAATTTTTGTAATTGACAATTAATAAGACAGATAAGCTTGATAATCCATAGCAAAATTAGCAATATTCGATTCAAAATTTGTAAGTTTTAGTCTTTTCATCGACCCCCCCCAATAATGTTATATCTACCCCTGGGGGTTGATATAGACCACTTTGGCGACCCTTGTACTAAACAATAGAATCTAAAGCTGTTAATTTCAAAATAATAGCCTAATGTTATACTCAAAATATTTTAATAATAAAGTTTAATATTATAATAATAATAATAATTATTATTATTATTATAATATTAAACTTTATTATTAAAATATTTTGAGTATAACATTAGGCTATTATTTTGAAATTAACAGCTTTAGATTCTATTGTTTAGTACAAGGGTCGCCAAAGTGGTCTATATCAACCCCCAGGGGTAGATATAACATTATTGGGGGGGTCGATGAAAAGACTAAAACTTACAAATTTTGAATCGAATATTGCTAATTTTGCTATGGATTATCAAGCTTATCTGTCTTATTAATTGTCAATTACAAAAATTATTATTAATAATGTACAATAAATGTAAAAAATGTAAAATTAAAAGATATATATTAAAATAGTAAGAGCTTTTTTTTTGCTTGATGGGGTTGATGTGAGGTTTCGAAAAGTTGTAGGGGGTCAATAATCAAAAAAGTTTGGTGAGCCCTGGTTTAGTATAATAAGTGTAAACATAATTATTTTAGTGACATTCTACATTATATTTTTTAATATGTTACTAAGCATGTTTACTTTAGTTTATGCCATACTAACATTTTATTAATATTAAACTAACTAAATTCTTTTTATAAAATAAAATTTTATTATTGTCTGTTTATTTTTAATATGCTACATCATCCACTTCAATCAATCATGACTACCAACACCAATATTATGAGAGGAAGTTGTATTGATATCTATGAATATTGAATATTTATAAAACGATGACAAAATTTGCTCAGGAAGAAAAATTATGAATGAATGATAAATTTAGCTTTATCTTAACTGATTTAAATAGAACACCAAAATTCAGTTTTAGAGTAAAAACTCACAAACTCTGACTAAATACAGACCATTAATAGTCAAATACCATTATGTCATGTACAACCTTGAACTATTTATCAACAAAAAGTTAAAGCTGTAAATAACTCTCAGTACAGCATCATCAGTACTGATGCCCTTATTAACAAACTACAACAATTAAACATTCATAACAATATTAGACTAGCGTCCTTCAACAATAAGCATGTACTCTTCAATCACACACACCAAAGTTAGAATCACTCCACTCTAATGAATGCCCTAAATGACTAACTGAAATAATCATGTTTACTTTATCTAATAAGTTTTTTGAATCGAAAGGCAGTTACTGTAAACAAACTGAAGGGATCCTCATGAGTAGCTGTACAGGACCAAAGCTACCTGAAATCAGCATGAGAAAAAAAAAATAAATGAAAATATATTAAACAACCCAGGAATTTTAGGCTTTTACAGTTATGTGAATGACTGCCTACTCATTTATGACATCACCATAACTGAAATCAATCAATTTTTAAACACATCAATAACCTAGACAAAAATATAAAATTTTGAATCAGAACTCAAAAAACCACCAATTATCTTTCCTAGACATTTTAATCACTAGACTAAACAATAGAATTAAAATTAATAGATTTATTAAACAATGCAATTGTTTAGATCTCTAATATATTGGAATATATTGAATCTGGGTTTATGTTATTTGATTTAAGGATTGTACAATTCTACTTAGAACAAAGTGATGGTTTTAATAATAACTAAGGATCAGTGCCAACTATCAGTATGGCTTACGAGGTACCAGGGGCGTGCCGTGACATTTGATGATAGGGAAGCTGTGTTTCTATAAGAAGCCGACATCCAGGGGCAATCAGTTAATTCTTTCTTTAAATGTATTTTTAATAGATTATTTATCTGACGTACTTAATAAACAAGTTCATTATAATTACCTCTGTTATTAGATCCAATATATTCCATATGCCCTCTAAATGCCAATTCTTGCTTTGATAAAAACATATAACATCTATTTATTTAGATATAATATATCTATTACCCATAATTATCTCGTTACAATTTTCAATATTTATTTTATATTATTTACTAATGTTAAATTCTATTCCGCTTCGATTTCCAAATTGCTTCAAATACGAAAGAATCGACGATTTTTCGTGTCTTTTGCCAGCTAAATTGTCAAAGACATTCTTATTCCACACACTAATTTCACTCTGTAAAT